TCTCATTCATCAGAATGGATTGGATTGTGTGAAGTGGTGACGTCATATGAAAAACTAAAGTAATTTCAGAAGTGGAGCTGCTTATTATATTTTGATGAAAGATTATGAGCACAAACTTTTTGCAGTAACGTGCACAGATGAATCGTTCCCAGTTAGATGTCTATCTAAGCAAGTGTCATCTCCAAACAATTCATCTCGATACAAAATGACCTGTTCACTCTTGGTACGTGTTTTGTCAGCATTCACAATAGTCTGATATTTCTTTCTCCTTAGGGTTTATGTCTAACTCTGCTCCTTCTGGCCATCTTCAAAAAGGCCCTTCCAGCTCTCCCCATCTCCATAGCCTTCGGCCTGGTCTTTTACTTTGCCACCGATAACCTTGTGCGGCCGTTCATGGATCAGCTGGCTGTTCATCAGTTCTACATTTAGCACGGAGGAGAGGTCACTCATCACGCACTCCACTTTACAGCTAATTCCCAGAATCCTCTTGCAGGGAACGTGAACCCTGTAGACTAGCACACCTTTCCTCTTCCTCTGGACACATGACTGGATTGGCTGTTTTTGCCATTGAGTGACTCTATTAATTACAGTGCCTCTCCAGTGACTCATCTGATCCTGATATTGGCTTTGGCAACATCTTCGGGCGATATTCCGAACATTTGTTTGTTTGGAGAAAACACAGACCATCTTACATGTAAGAATGGATGAAAGTGATTGGCTTTATCACTTCATTCAAAGTTTGATGAACTCTGGTGTATGGAATGGGACCAGAGCTTGCTTTTTCCACCAGATCTTGGATTCACTTTCAAGGCATTACATTAATTCCAGCTCCAATATAGTGAGCATTAACCCAAAGCTCTTTGAATGATATGGCTGCACGCACAGAGGTAGGTACTGATCACTTTTGTTGGTCTTCTGAGAGTGCCTGTGATGCTTCGAGTTTTCATTTTTAACACCAACCATTTGACCATATTTGAGACGATGTTCTGGGCTACTCTAGCATTAAATCAAGTGCTGATCCAAGCTACTGTTTTGCTCTCCTGAAAATTGTGAGAGCGTCATTTTGGAATGTATAAACCTTCTCTTTAATTGCTTATGTGTTTGGACAAGATGTCAGGAGACTAAGAATAGTTTGTTTGTTAGTTAATTTTGTTGTTGTTTTGTTTCTCTTTTTTTTTTTTTTTTTTTTACCAGCACAATGGTTGATTGAATGACTTTTACTTTCATAGTATCCATGCCTTTTGTCATTTCAAGAAAATGCTAATGTTTTGTAACTAAATTGAAGGATTCACAAATAAAGGGGTTGCTCATTTGAGCAAATGTCAGTCTCCATCAAATCATTTTCAGTTTAAATTTCTTGTTTTGTTTTTTTTTCACCCTTGAGTACACCTGGTATTCACAATCATCTCATTGATCTGATCACAAGAAGTTGCTCTTATCATGTAAATGGGGTCCAAACTGTTTTATGATCAGTGTTGCCAGGTCTGTGTAACAAAACCAGAAATTAAGAATGGCAAATAAGTTAACCTTCAGGTGGACTGGCCAACACCGAGGACATTAGGGAACAGTCAAGTCACATTACTTTGGGGTTCATTGTCTTGACCTATTGTTCCGTCTTGCTAATGTTAAAGGCCTGGAAAATGGTGGGAACATTTCAGAAATTCCACAGTATTGCAGGACTGTCGCCCCTCTTCCAAGTCCCTGACCCTTTGGAATTGGCATGTTGCCTGAATCTCTAGAGGTAGTAGCAGTTTCCATGGGGCCAGCTTGGCACGGCATGCAGGGATGGCCATGGTTCTCTTTTGTGATTGTACCTTGGTGATTAGCATCAAGCTGAGCCTTCACATTCCACCTCAGCGTCTCACCTGAAGTCTGCAATGATCTTATGTCACAGGTGAAATCAACAGATTTCCACAAAATCACAACAGGCACTGGCACGTCACTAATACTATTGCTCAAGCAGTTTTTAAAGCTCTAGAACTTGGCACGTTAAAAAAAAAAAATTTAAGATTTGCATTGAATGAAGGACCACAGGGCTCTTCAACTCCGGGCCTGGAGGGTCAGTGTCTTGCAGACTTTAGTACCAATCCCAGTTGACCCACCTGTCTGTAATTTCCAAGTAGTTCTCAACACTTTGGCTGTGGTTGGATTTAACCAATCTGTGGGATTTGCCAACTAGAGGGCGATATGGTGTAGCATAATGACTGTGGGCTATCTAGGCTACTGTAATTGGCAAATAATTGGCTTATAATTGGCAAAGTGAAGGCTTAAGACAATGCAAGAAAGGATGACAGCCAGAATCACAAATGATCCAAGTCTGTTAAAAGTATGGTAGAGGTAAAGTGATTATCTGGCAATATCTGTGAATAGCTTGGGTCTATTCATATTAGACACAACAGGACTATATGTAAACTCTAATGCCATGACAAGATGCGCATACGTCCATCTCGCGCATGTACAGTCTTCTGCCATCATGTGCGAGCCGGTGCTTACAGCGAGCCGGGTGGGGCTAATGGCCTCGGACCTCGATCAAAGAGGCCGAAATCATGCCGCGTTTCCACTGTCGGGCCAGTAGCCTCATGGCACTCCTGTAAAACCCGCCCTAAACACACCTTCACTGGACTACGTCACACAATACAAAGTTCCACCAGCGAGAGGGAGATGAATGAAATAAATTTTAACATTTAAAATTTCTAACCGGCATACACTGCTTCAAAGCAGATGCCAGTCGGTCTGCGCAGTGTCAAATGAAGTCAAACACAGCTCCATATTAGCTTGTTCCAGTACGTGTTAGAGCTAAGCTTAACTGGGTTGGAGTTGAAGAGCCCTGACCTAAGTCATATATCAGGGGTGGCCAACATCGTTCCTGGAGAGCCACAGTCCTGCATAGTTTTGCTCCAACCTTCATAAAAACTAACCTGCCTGTCACATTCTAGTAGCCCTTTTGCTGCGTTCCATTTACCTCGGAAGTTGGATGTCGGAGCTGGGAATGACATCACACTAGAGAAGTCAGAAAACCAAGATGGACGCTTCCATTGTTAGCAATACCAGTCGATTAAAAACACATAAAAAGTGGAATTTTGCACAGATAACGCCAAAGTATCATGTCCACAAATAGAGGTTGGATAGTGCTGTGTGCACCACTTATTGAGTTTGAGACACAGACAAACATGAGAGCTAATAAACAATATGGTAACAATGTTTCTCTTCTTTTGATTCACTGAACAGCCTTATTGGATTCTGAAGTTTGAGCGATTTCTCAGAGATTCCGAGTCGGAACTCCAACTTGGGAGTGCGTTCAACTTTGGCCCTGTTTACACTGCGTTTTCGTTTTAAAACCGCGTTTTAAAAGGGGTTTTCACTGTGTTTCAGAAACGATCTTGGTCTACACTTCACAACAGAAAACGCATGTCACATAACCATTCATGCAGGTACAACCATAGATATATAGGTAGATGCCCTATTATTTAGATGGTGGACGCATCTACATGCTTAGAGCGGTCGAATGGGGCATCTACCTATACATATCTATGGGTACAACAATGAGCATGATGTTATTGTTTACACGGTCACCAAGGCTAGGCAGAGCGAATGTGGGCAGCCACGCCATCGTTTTCAAAAGTCTCCGTTTTGCTCCGTTTACACTGAAATGCAACCCCTGAGTTTTCAAACTAAACCGGGGTCTGCAGCATTTTCAAAAGTCTCAGTTTTCGAGGGTTGAAAATGCCGGAGTAGTGTAAATGACAGGCGTAACCGTAGAAAAAGTTATGCGTTTTAAAACGAAAACACACTAGTGTAAACAGCTTTCAAAGTTTCTACTGGGAACTCGGAATTTCCAGCTTCCAAGTTCAAATGGAACACAGCATTAGACCTTGATTAGCTTGTTCAGGTGTGTTTGATTAGGTTTGGAGCTGAACTCTGCAGGACTGTGGCTCTCCAGGACCGATGTTGGCCACCACTGCAATATATGTTCTTATAGGTTTCTAGAGCAGTGGTTTTCAATCCTGTTCCTCGGGACCCACTGCTCTGCACATTGTGCATGTCTCCCTTATCTAACACACTCATTTGTGACCCTGGAGCACAAAACCGGTCTTAAGTCGCTGAGGTATATTTGTAGCAATAGCCAACAATACATTGTATGGGTCAAAATTATTGATTTTTCTTTTATGCCAAAAATCATTAGGATATTAAGTAAAGACAAGTTCCATGAAGATATTTTGTAAATTTCCTACTGTAAATATATTAAAACTTAATTTTTGATTAGTAATATGCATTGCTAAGAACTTAATTTGGACAAATTCAAAAGCGATTTTCTCAGTATTTAGATTTTTTTGCAGCCTCAGATTCCAGATTTTCAAAATAGTTGTATCTTGCCCAAATATTGTCCTGTCCTAACAAACCATACATCAATGGAAAGCTTATTTGTTCAGCTTTCAGATGATGTATAAATATCAGTTTCGAAAAATTGACCCTTATGACTGGTTTTGTGGTCCAGGGTCACATTTGAGTTCATGGAGCTCTTTCCTAATGAGCTGATGATCTGAATCAGGTGTGTAAATTAGGGAGACATGCAAAATGTGCAGAGCTGTGGGTCCCCAGGAAATAGTTTAAAAACCACTGTTCTAGATGTCCTATAGGTGTCCAATCTGTCCAATCCAAGGGCACTTTCTTGCAGAGTTTAGCTCCAGCACACCATTGTGGAAACTTCTAGTGAACTTAGTGAACTGATTAGGTGTTTCAGCTGTGTTTAATTGGGGCAGGGGCCAAGTTCTCCTGGAAGGTGATCCTTAAGGAGTGGGATTGGACACCCCTGCTATAGGTCAAACAGTAGAGCAGGGTTGGGAAACTTCAGTCCTGGAGGACTGCTGTTCTGCAGAGTTTGGTTCCATCCCTAATCAAACACACCTGCCTGGAATTTTTAAGCAATCTTGAAGACTTTTTTCAGGTGTGTTTGATTAGAAATGTAGCTAAACTGTGCAAGAGTGGACCTCCTGAACCGGCATTGCATGTTCCTGCAGTAGAGCACAATTGTAGTAGCGATAAGGTTGTGGGCTTGATTCCCAAAAAGATGTACGGTATGGCTTGAATGCAGTGTAAAATGTTCCAGGCAAATGAAATGGAAATAAATTAAATGAGAAGGCAAAACATCACAGAGATTGGGGATGGACTCTTTTGAGTTGGGTTAGCAAATAACCACACAGAATACCTTATGTCAAGTTGGGTTCAATTCGGTTTGGTCTTTAAAACTTATTTGTGGCAGTGTGAGGAAGCAGAGCTAAATTTGGTCACTCCTTTTCCTGATAGCCTGTTTTCCCCAGGTCCATTCAATTCCCGGTACGGTATTAAGCTGGCTTACTTGAGGCCATACAAGGCTGTAAGACACACTAATCTCTGGAGGTGAGTCTTGAGCATCTAGGCCACCAAGACTACAGGAGATGTGGCTAAGGATAGCTCCTCTAAGGGGATTACTAGAAGTGTGAGGGCGTGTCCTATGACACGCAAGACAAGCCAGCGCTCAAGGATTAGGCCATTAGTGCTTAGTTGAGTCGCACCAAGGACACAGCCACTCTCTTATCTGCCACTCTCTGCAACCCAGACCTACAACTTCCACTAGAAACCATGTCGAAGGAAAAACTGGA